ACTTTTTAAATAAAGTTTAAATAAATCACTGCCCATGTGTTCCCGGTGAACAGTCACTAGAGGGCAGCAGAGCTCCCTCACACTCACCTGAGACTCAGAAACATGTCATCACTCAGGTATTTACCTGAACCACAGGTGTGATCAGTCCTGTGTGTTTACAGGGAGAAAACAAACCAGGTACCATTAAAAAAAAAGTCCATATTTAACATCAGGAAAAGGGAAAGTTTGGAAAGGCCTTCAACTTTGGCTACCAAGGATCTTCCACTGATGGATAAATCCCTTTGAAGCCAAAGATTAAATCTTTGTTGTATTGAAGTTATGAGGGTCTAAATTTTCAGATAATCTAGCATCTTGGTCTTTTTGAATGATAATACCAAGATATTTAACCTTATCTTTAACAGGAACACCTGATATAATTGTATCTGTGCAGAATTTAGCTGTGAAAAGATCACATTTGGGAATGTTGAGTTTGAGACCAGAGGCTATGGAGAAATTTTGGATGACTTTGAGAGCTTCACCAATTTGAGATTTATCCTTTTAAAAAAGTGTTGTGTCATCCGCTAGTTGAGTAATAGATAAAGTTCTGCCAGCAACATTACACTGCTGTTTTTAAAATTAATAGAAAGTAACTGCATAAGAAGAAGGAAAAGATATGCCGAAATCGGACAACCTTGACGGATCCCACGGTTGATATCAAATCTTTTCGTTGTACCATACGGGAGTTTGAGCTGTTTGCATCTGCATATAAAGTTTGAATGGATTTTTAAACATATTTCCAAAACCAAAAATATCAAGTGCTCTGAACATGAATACATGTTCAGTGGAGTTGAAAGCTTTATAAAAATCCAAAAAAAGAATGAAACTATTATCTGTGATTAAATCTGAATGATCCAAAATATCAATTACCAGTCTTATGTTGTTTGTTATGTGTCTGCCAGTCATAAAACCAGACTGTGTTTCATCAATAATATCATTAAGTGCACACACATAGCAATTATTTTATGATCATTATTGAGCAGTGAAATAGGTCCAATTTTCTATCAAAAGGACAACTTTTTGAGGCTTAGGAATCAAAGTAATTAGTCCCTGAATCAAGGAAGGAGGGAGCTTTTCATTAGCAATGCTTTCAATATATACTTTATGTAAAAAGCGTGAGAAGTCTTTTAAAAATAATTTGTAAAATTCATAAGTCCACCCGTCATTCCCTGGACTCTTATTAAGTTTCATTTTATTGATAGCACCTTCAATATCTAGTGCTGTGATGAGGGCATCACACATAGTTTTATTATTGTCAATAATTGTTTTAATATTACCTAAGGAATTATAAAAAAAATTCATGACTTCTGTAGAAAAAATAGATTTATATAAAGTTTTATAAAAAAGTTCACAAGTCTTGGAAATCACTTTGATGACCCCATCTGAACAAAGTTTAGTCATGGTGCCAAGTGTATTGTGATGTTTTATAATTTGAAAAAATAGCTAGAGTTTTTGTTCTCCCTCTTAGAGCCGTTTCCTTCTTGACCGCACAAAGGTACCTTTTGCCTTTTAAATATATACATTTTCTAATTTAATGTAAATTTGAAGTCTGTTCCTGTTATCTTCAGATAAATTATCAGGTGATATTGACAGAGCCATCATTTCAGAAATTATTTCCAACTCTTCTTTTTTTCTATTTTTAACTATTTCAGCTCCTCTTCTCATTAAAAGAGACCTCAATTCAAATTTCATGAACTCCCAATTTTTACTAAAAGCATTTTCAACACATGCCTTTTCCAATACTCATCTATTTTTGTTTTAATTTCCTTTACCAAAGAGTCCTTCAGTAGAAGAGAATCATTTAACTCTCAATATGAATTCACTCTTTTAGACGGATTACTGGCATACAAACATATCTTCAAAAGAGTAGTTTTATGATCTGTCAAGGGTGTTGGCAACATTTTTGATTTAGAAACATTTGGATAAAGGATCAGAAATTAACCAATAATCAATATGAGACTGTAAGAAACCTGATCTATTTTTTCATGAAAATTCCTTAATTGTTGGATTCTCCAGTTATCAGTTAGGTCTCTTTCCTTTATAAAATCCATCATATAATTGCTACTTTCCTGACTTTTACTCGGCCATCTACCTATCATGTTATTGAGTGAATGATTCCAGTCCCCTCCTAATATAATCTTTAGATTAGCAAATTTATTTATTAAAGTTTTTCATTTACTATAAGTATTAGGTCAGTATTCTCCTGTTTGTTATAGTAGCCGTAACTGTTTCCCAGTAAGAGGGTCTGATCATCAGCAAAATAAAATGTCCTTTCGGATCAGTTTCTGAAGATATATTTTTCCCTTAAACTTTCTGCTTTAAAATCAGAGTTCCCGCTGAATGGTGTGCCATGAGACATCCATAAATCTTCACCCCATTGGGATTTCCAGAAGTTAGCGTCCTTGGGTTCAGAATGGGATACTTGTATGAGACAAAAGTCAGTATTCAAACGTTTAGCATATAAAAACAGAGCCTCCCTTTGGGTATTGTCCCTTAGTCCTCGAGCATTAAAAGAATTAAAGGATAGAGATGAAATTTTGAAAAGTAAATTAACGTTTTACCCTGAGAAGAGTGTGTAAGCTTCAGAGAGAACAGAACTACTCTGTCTAAAAGAGTGCTTCAAAAACGTTTTTAGCAACAACAGCATACTATAAGTCTTTCGAACAATAAGGAAAAGAGACCTTGAGGCACATGCGCAAACAGGACTGAAAGGGATTTCAGTGAATTTCTTTTCTGTTCACCAAAGCACGGGCTCCGACGAAGTAGACAATTTTCCCTCCTTATGTGCTTTCTCCACCTGTGGCCATAAGTGGTTGCATCTCTCTCGGTCCTCAGGAGAGAGATCTTCTTTGAAATGGAGCTTCCTTGTCTTCAGGTAGTCAGATCCCTTCACCGCCTTTCAGGTGATGACTCGAAAGTGTCTCATGGTAAATTGCAAGATTATGGCGCTGGGCAATGGCGCAGAAGAGGACTCACCTCATTGTCCGATCCTGAATCAAGTACCTCCGGGAACTTTTAGCAGAAGTCAGCCTGTTTAAGGCTCTGATATCTATTCTGTGTGACTTAAAGCAGTTATGACATGGTCTGATTTTCTCACCCAACAACATCTGTATATACACTGTCAAAGGTACTTGTCTTTGAGTGAAGGTATAAGGGGATGGGAAATATAAATAACTTCCAATTTCACAAGCCTCGCACTTCTGGCCTTAGCGGTCTTTGAGTATGCGGCCCTTGTGGACCGTTAAGGCTGCGTACTCTAAGGCTGCAGACCCTGAATTGAGATAGCGCCAGTGTTCCTGCAGCTTCCTGAGTCAGGGTCAAGGGTCACAGAGAGATGCTAAGTCAGCAGGAAATCATGATGTTCAGCCTGAAAAGATCTGCAGCTGAAAAAAACCTTCCCTGTTTTACAGTTTCGATGGAAACTGAGCAGCTTATCCCGCACACATTTAAACAAGTTTTCTGCACCATCACAGTAAAATAATTTCCACTGATAAAATCAATAAAGACGAGGTAGAGCCAGGTGGAGGCGTAGAAAGTTTTATTAAACGTGTAAAATCAACTGTTAAAAAGTTTTTAAATAAAGCAGAAAAAGAAGGAAACTCATCATTAATCATCATATCAACATTTACACTATAAAGATTATGAGGCTTTTATTTTGTTAACAGTGACTCAGGCTGTGATGTCACATGTGACATCACATGGTGGCGGTGGCGTCCTCACAGCGTGGTGAACTGGCTCAGAGCTTCTCTCAGCTTATCTGCGATCTGACCAATCAGAGAGCAGAGGGGAGACGACATCACAGACCTGAACACGCAACCAGACTCCGCCCACCCCGCCTCCCGCCTGGCGCTCACCTGCTGGTAGAAGGTGACCTGCTGCTCCAGGTAAAGCTGCATCACTCGGTTGTAGTCGTAGATACGGTTGCTATGGAAATGGTTCATCTCAGCTGGAGGAGAGCAGACAGCGGCGAGTTACCCTCGGACATGTTTTTATTTATTACACATACAAACATTAACTTTATACTATTGTGGTATCATTTTATTTACTTTATTATTTAGATCAGTCGTTCTTGGATTTTTATTCTGGTGGGACTGACATGAACCCAACATCATCATCTCTTCATACACATGTGAAGCAGAAACAGCTGAAACTAAACCGGTGATGAGGTAACGCGATGACATCATGAAAAGGCAGCAGGTGACTAAAGCTCAGTGTGTGACGCGAGCTGAGCAGGAAACACCCTCACAGGGTTCGTATATGTGACCGTCCACTCCGCTGTCAGACAGAGCAAGACAGTTTTATTTTGAAGGGTTACATGAAGTCACTGAATGATCCTGTGATGCTAAAGGTCAGCTGTGTGTCCTTTCTTCTCTCGTCTCCTGAGTGACCGCAGCCCCTCCTCCTTCTTCTGAAGCTCCTACAGATGTGATGTGTCCTGATGGGGATCTTGGTCCTTGGCTCAGGCCAAAGATTAAAGTTGGGGCTCTGAGTGGGTGGTCGTAACGCCCATTTTGGTCTCCTGCAGCGTGTTCCTCAGCAGGATCATCGTGGTTCTCTCTGAGTTTCTCCTCACTTCTGTTGTCCACACTTGGAGACACTGTGATAACTTTCACTCTTCTCCTCAGGTCTGAAGTGATTTATAAAGTGTCTTTGGATTTGGGGCGATGCTTCCTCAGATCAAACCCTCACAGATGTGTTTATACAGATCAGTTTATTTAACTGTAAACCGGAGAAATTCCTTGGTTTGGTCTTAATTTAACATCTTTGAGTGTTACAGAGTGAACGCAGGTCATTGCACAGCAGGTCCATGCTGTGGGTCAATGACAAGCTCAGTTCTTCAGGAGGACAAACTGACTGTGGTCATGTTTGTCTCTCTGAAATTATTCTGTCATTGTTTGTAAACAGATTTATGCTTTTTAAATAAAACAAGCATGTTCAGAAACACTGCGCAGAAAATCCATCGCTCTGCTAAAAGCATGACAGCTTTAAATTTCACCAGGGGCTGATAACTTTGTCAAAGAGATTACTTTGATCTTTGGGTTTGCTGGGAT